GAATCATGGAGGGGGAGTGAGGAAAGAGAAAAGAAAGCATATGTCAGAGGTTTATTAAAAAGTTCTAAGAATTCATATTCTCCCCCATAAACATTCATGCCTGAGGGGTGAGTTATACCTTCAGTTGTTAATATCTGCAAAGCACTTTGAGATTATCCATTGAAAGGTATATTATATATATTTTAACAAATCAGACTCATAAGTTAAAGAAACTAGATATAACTTGCTTTTAAACATTTTCATTCAAAAGCCCTTTTCCTGAAGTAACCCTTAATCTTTTTCACAAGCTGTAATAGTACCAAGACCAAGAAGGGTTTTCCAAAGAGTGGATGTAGGAAGCTGATAAGAGAAGTATTCTTTAGGGCTTGGTAGCATAGGTTACATTGCACAAAAACATATATCTCTTGGCAGTCTCATTTTTCTCCTGTCACCTATTGACATTTTGAAAGATTTACTGATGGACTTAAAAACTGCAGAACTTTTAAAGTTACTGATGTGGATGTATTAGCCTAATTACAGATGTGCTACTACATTTAATGCTTTTTCCTTCTACTATAGGGAGCCATTCATTAAAACTCATAACTGGAGGAAAGGGCTTTACATGATTGTTGCTAACATTAAAAAAGACATATGTAAATTGTGTTTCCAAACAACTCTCCAAAGTTCAGGAGCTGATGTTACTAATTGAATGCCTCAGGAAAACCCTTAATAAATTATTTTGTCTAGCTCTATGATCACATAGGTGATTATGTATATTTTTTCAAAGTTTGAAAAAGGAAAAGGAAAAAAACTCTACCAAGAACTACAATAGTTTCTTTAACTCTCTTGTGAGTTGTTTTGATCTAATAACATAAGTGCGATTTCCAGTTATAAAAATGAGCAAACTGAGTCCTAGACAATTATATAGCCAGAAAATTTTTAAAAATCTAAGATTCTGATCCAAGATTGTAACCTAGTTATGTCCCATCCAAAGCCCATGTTTTTTTGTTTGTTTGTTTGTTTGATTCTAATGTTACCTTGTAGGGAAAAAGTGCTGTATGTGGAAAAACACATAGTATATTTATTGTCCTGTGTATGAGCTGCTGCCGTCCTTTGTCCCAACACAAGTCCAAAGTATTGGTCGCCTACAAAGATTTTCATTAATTAAGATTACATTTTCAAAGAAGAATTTGGTCTGATCTTCTTTAAAGATTTGTTATGAAAACGTGAGGCAGAAAAACCTCATTTTATAAAGGAACAGTGTGAGTTGAAGAAATTTCCTCAGTGTTGCCAAAAAAAAATTAAGCCAGAGATTTTACTTCATAATTTAGGATTCCCTTCTAGTACATTTGCTCACACCACTTAGTATTAAAAAGGATTATGCTCACGTGCATTTTCTGACTTACTACTATATCTTAGTTTTTCTTTTATTATCTAACCTTCTAAATGGAATTAAACTCTATCTAGTACACAGTAAATCAGTAAATAGACTACAGCATTTGCCCTGATGGAATTTCAGTTTCATGGTGAGGTACTGGGAAAATTCTGGCTCAATTGTTACTGACATAGGAGGCTGTACAGTTATTTATTAGAAGACAGCCTGGGAGGAAAAGAGAAAATGGATTTATGTGATCTTGTATTGCTAAATACGGCACACTGCTGTTATCTTTTCTTTACTGCTTCCTCTAAAAGTCATCATTTCAGTGCACTAATCTTTTTAACAGCCACTCAGTGGTAACTGGGCTAGAACTTTGCTAAGGGGTCACATTCACCAACCTGACAGTTATACATTTACAAAAGAAATAGCATGAATTTATTCAGCATCAAAACCTCTGCATCTTTTACCACCCAACTACATTTCACACTGTATTACCATCAGTGCACTATAATGGCTATATAAATTCCATCCAGATTCTTCATTTAATTAACTAGCATTCTTTGAACAAAAATAAAAGTGCTGTTTTTATAGATGAATAAAAGCTGCACAAAGTGAGTGTGAAGAAGACAAATCATCAAATTAGTTATTCTTCATTGCAGCTATGGATAATTTTCTGCCCTTCCCCTTTCCCTTTAGAGGCTTTTTTTTTTTTTTTTTTTTAAGCTTGATTGAATGAGAAATGGAGAGTAAAGCAGCCTCAAATATGCCTATTGTAATGGCCACATCATAGGCTTATCCAGGGCTGGACAGTGATAATTATGTCATCTACAAGTGACTTTTTTTTTTTTCTAACATTTTCTGTAGTTGGCAAAGTAGTATAGCATAGTAGCCAACAACATGAACTTTATACTGCCAAATCTTAGCTGTCAATTTTTAGGTTTGTGATTCTAAATTACTTAACTTTCCTGTGTGTCAATGTCCTGTCTATAAAATGCAGATAATAATAGGTGGATAATAATAGACATATCCATGGCAGTGTGTGGATTAACTGAGTTGATGGATGTAAAACGTTGAGAACAGTGCTGGCACATAGTTAGCCGTTACCTCCTGTATGCACCACAGCAGTCTGGTGTGAAGTTGATCCAGCTGTGTCACTAGAGACTCTCTTGATCATCTGAACAAAATTGACTAGTGTGGTAGGCTAGGTTAGTGTCCCTTTCTTTTCCAGATACTTCTTTCTAAAAGTATTATTTTATTATAAAACAATTACTTTCAGATACAAGGAAATAAAGTTCTTTGAGTCAAGGGCATAGAAGGCAATTGGTTGGCCACATCTCTCCATCTGGCACCCTGCTGCCAGATTTAGCTTTCTAAAGCACTGTTTTCTCATATCATTTTCTGCTCAGAGGCCTTCAAGTCTTCTTGAGACTCAAGCTCCTTTGCCTGTCATGCCTGCCATTTCTACCAGAGCCTGACTTCCTCGCTCTCCCCAACCTTTTTTTATTCATTATTTCCCTATAGCAAGTCTCTACTCCAATCAAAATTAGTCTGTATTGTTTCTCAGTGTGCCACATTTCTTCTTGTCTCTATTCCTTTGTTCACATGGTTCTCTTTGTCTAACATCCTCTGTTCTTCATCCATTTATCTAAGTCATAGCTGATGTTCTAAGTTGAGACAGAAAAGGGGAAATTATCTTTTATCCCTTTGTATTTTTGTCATAAACATGGTTGCTAGATGCAGTGGCTGCTAAATAAATGCTATCAATGAACGATCCTTTTGGCTTTACCTTCAAACTATATTTAGAATCTAACCATTTCATACCAGCTCTACCACTATCACCCTTACTGAAGCTACAGTTAATTTTTGCCTGTCTCCTTTTTCTTCTCCCTGCTTCCACCCTTGCTGACCACCTACAGTCTATTCTCAATACAGCAGCAAAAATAACACTTTTAAACTTTAAGTCAGATCACATCAATTCTCTGCTCAAAACCCTCCAATCATGTCCCATCTCACCCTGAGTAATACCAAAGTCCTTGCAATGGCCTACAAATTCTCTGAGCCTCTGCCACTTCACTCCACCTCCATCCCTACATTCACTCTTGTTACCACTCTGCCCTCATGTCTTATTATTCCCCTCTTCCGTACCACTCCTACCTCTGCTACACTGGCTTCCTTGCTGTTTTCTGAAAGATGCAAAGCACAACTTCATCTGCGGTCCTCCATGCAAACTGTTCCCTCTTCCTAGAAAGATCCTCCTTAGGAAATACTGACTCCATTCCCCCTGCAGGTCTCTGGCCAATTATCCTCTCAATGAGACCTTTACCTCTCATCCCTGATTTACTATCTCCCCAAACTTTGAATGTAAATTCCAAGGAGCAAGAGGGAAGTCTTTTTGTCTATATTGTTTAGTGTTTACCCCCAATACTTGAAGCAGAACCTGACACATAATAAATACTTAATAAACCATTATTGAATGTATGAATGAAACACTGAGCCTTAAGAATATGCCAGCATTCCTAACCCTCCCAGCACTTCAAATCTATTCAGGCTCAAACTAAAGCAAATGTCCCATAACAGTTCTGAAAAAATTAAAATAGCCATAGTTTAATATTAGCCATGGCAATTGGAGCAGAAAGTTCTATTGCAGAGAAAAGAGATTTCTGCATCAAGTAAAGAAAAAGAAATGGTTTACAGTATATGAAGTGCCATATTAAATTATATTGGTGTCCTGGGGGACTGTCTTTGACCCAGTACCAAGGTATATTTTTTTTCCCTCCAAGTACACTTTGAGAGAACAAGTAGCTTTGGCTACCCTATCCTCTTCCTAAGGTGGAAGTTATAGCTGTATAAGGGTTTTTTGTTTTTTTATTTAGAGGCAGAGTAAAACAACAGAAAGGCAGCATTAATGTTGGAGTCAGGCAAATCTAGTTTCAGATTCTGGCGCTGCTGTGTGTCCTTTAACAGGTCATATAACTTCTCTGAGTCTTGCTTATGTATGAAATGGTTATTTTAATAATGTCTTTCTCTCAATATTGTTCTAAAGATTAAGTAAGAAAAGACACATGAAGCACCTGAGATACAACATGTGGTTCATAAATGTCTTGTGAGCATTGCATTCAATAACAGTTATGTGTTTTGCTACTGAATTCTACCTTTTGGCTTAAGTACTAGATAGATTATTGTCCATGAGAAAACTTTGGCCCCTGGAGATTGGTCCATGGAGAAGCCTCAAACACTACTATAAATCTCTCAGCAGCATCTGATGACATTGCAAGACCTTTTTAGAACATGAGTCCTACCACCTACTTTAGTTTTGTTGTACCCTACTCTTTGTATCCTTTGAGCCCATTCTTATTCTTCTATTTTCCATTTTCAACTCTCTTCTACTTCCTTTATTTTCAAAATATTATGCTAGGTATGTGAAGTCAAGAGATTCCATACTGAAATCAACTCCATACTGAAATCAATAAAGGAAAAAGTAAGATCAGCAATTACCTCACTTAATAAAGAATAAAGAACTAAAGAATATATGTATATTGACTTTTTAGAATTATAACTTCCAGGGCAATGAAAATATTTTGTATAAACCACTGACCTATTTCTTATGTATTTTTTTAAATGACATTAATTTTGAAATCTTTAGGAAGCCAAAGCTGTAGTTGAAGAAACAAGAGCCCTGCGAAGTCGGATTCATCTTGCTGAAGCTGCACAGAGACAGGCACATGGAATGGAAATGGACTATGAAGAAGTGATCTGTCTGTTAGAGGCCGAGATTACAGAGCTAAAGGCTCAGCTTGCTGATTATTCTGACCAAAATAAAGTAAGCAAAGCAGTCATCTCTTCCAGTTACCATGGTTTCCTTGCCGTTGTCATGTATCCTGTTTTCATTTTCTTTTCATCTGCACTTCTAAACTAGGTCAGTGTTTGTCTTCTATTATTCAGTGATAGGATGCTGTGTCCTGATGGGGGCAATGTAAAGGTCTTCAGCCTTCCTTTATCCAGATGGCTTTGGGATAGAAAAGCATGTGCCCCAAATTTATTTAGGTCATTGGTCAGCATTGTTCAGTTCAGGTATTAAATCCTGGAACTCTTTTTTTTTTTTTTTGATATGGAGTTTTGCTCTTGTTGCCCAGGCTGGAGTACAATGGCACTATCGCAGCTCACCGCAACCTCTGCCTCCCGGGTTCAAGTGATTCTCCTACCTCAGCCTCTTGAGTAGCTGGGATTACTGGCATGCACCACCATGCCCAGCTAATTTTGTATTTTTAGTAGAAACGGTGTTTCTCCATGTTGGTCAGACTGGTCTTGAACTCCTGACCTCAGGTGATCTGCCCGCCTTAGCCTCTCAAAGTGCTGGGATTACAGGCATGAGCCATTATTCCTGGCAGGAACTCTTTAATTGATTACATTGGTTTTCTTCTTTTTGTTTCTGAACTTGCTAATTTGTTTTATGAGAATGAGAGGCGGGGTGTCTAGGGATGGGTTTGCTTTTTGATTAGAGCATTCAAGGAAGTGTAAAAGTGAAAGAATGTTTGCTAAGGCCAATATAATTAATAGGAAGAAACTGAGTTTGATTTTTTTTTCTAATATAAGGTGTACTAAATAGATAATTTTCCAATTTCAGTAGCAAAATACTGAATGCTTTTCAGAAGTCAGTGTGAACTTTTTATTTTTTTATTTATTTTTTTATTTTTCTGAGATAGAGCTTTGCTTTTGTCACTTAGACTGGAGTACAGTGGGCTATCTTAGCTCACTGAAACCTCTGCCTCCCAGGTTCAACTGATTCTCCTGCCTCACCCTCCTAAGTAGCTGGGGTTATAGGGGCCCACCACCACCCCCAGCTAATTTTTTGTATTTTTGTAGAGATGGGGTTTCACCACATTGGCCAGGCTGGTCTCAACCTCCTGACCTCATGTGATCCACCCGCCTTGGCCTCCCAAAGTGCTGGGCTTACAGGTGTGAGCCACTGCGCCTGGCGTTGCAAACTTTTTTATGCAATTTTTTTTTTACATAATATATACTATATTCAGTGAAGAGCCTTCAAAAAACTGTAATAGTCATATATTTTTTTACTTCACTGAAGTAAGGTAGAAAATTGAGTAAATTGAAGTAAATATTCATAGACTTGTTCACTTATAAACATAACTGGTATTTATATCTCTAATCCAATCAGTTTCTAAGAGAACATAAAGCAAATTTGAATAATTTATGACTATTTATTTAAAAATTAAAAAGATGAATACTTTAAATATACTGTGTGAAAATGAAACTAGTGTTAGAAATGCGAAATACCAAAGAAAATTTTGAAATCTGTTAAAAGTCACTAAACAATTTCTCACATCTGTTCATTTAAACCAGTTCCACAAGAAGGCTGAAGTTCCCATCACCCTTTGGTAACACCACAGGCCAAGAGTAAAACATTTCGTTGACAAAGCTGCAATATTTAGGAATATTACATATTTGTTATTTTCGACCTAGTTTTTACATTATGAAAATAGAGATATGTGATTATGTTATGTAAATTTAGCCTGAGTATGAAAATATTTTGAGATTTATCAAAATGTCAAAAGTACTATTTATTATGGTTACTTTTGAAGTGAAAATCAAGTGTTTAATATTTTATTTTTAAGTAAGAGAGCTTTCATGAACATTCTCATGAATTTTTTTTTTTTTTTTGAGCTTGGGTTATTTGTAATCTCTCTTCTAGCTCTTAACTGAGAAACATTTTTGTCCTAAGTTGCCTGGTAATATAATTAATTCAGCTTTTCTTTTTTCATAATGGGGGTCTCATGCCATTTCTCTTAACAAGACTCTAAGCCAGTAAGTAACCTGTCACTGAAAACAGTCTTTTTTAAAGAGCTGTTAGATATGGTCATCTCAACGTTCATGTTTTCTAAACCCAATACCAGTAGAAAAAAAGAAGGAAACCTTTTTTTTTTTTTTTTAAATCATGAGATTGCTTAAAGAGATATTGACCAAGATGTTACAGAATTAAGATTCAAGTGTTTATTTGTAGGGTAACAAATTATTTTTATAACAATGCTTTTATTTTTCATTATTTTTATCTTTATGTTATCTATTTATTTATTTACCTTTTGGAGTTTTTGTTCACCTTCAACATAAGAAATAAAACATTCCTAGTACCTTTGAAGACCTACAGTGTTTCTTTCTCATTGTATCTCCTACCCTTTCCCTCAGAGATAACCATTTTCTTGGATTTATTGTTAACCATTTTCTCAAAAATTTTAAGTACTTATGTATATATTCCTTAATAATATGTTGTTTAGTTTTACCTGTTTATCAACTTTATATGACTCAAAATATACTCTCTGTATCATTCTGACCTGCTTTTCTTCATTCAACATTTTGTTTTTGCCTTTCATCTGTTTCAAGTTTTTAGCTAGTTTGTGTCTTATTGTTTTTTTGTACTCTATTTTGTGAATATACTACAGTGTAATTATCCATTCTGCATTTTATGGACAGTCCAAGTGTTTCTGTTCTCTTCCGTTACAAATGTTGCTAAAACCATTTTAGTGCATGTATCCTGCTCCACATGTGTAATAGTTACCTGCTAGAAGTAGAATTGCTAAGTTGAATAATTGTAAGTTTGGCTTTACTAGGTAATACCTATTTGTACTTGAAAGTGTTTGAACTAATTTGTACTCCCACCAGTAATGAATAACAATTATTGTTTACCCCACATATTTGCTGACTCCTTGTTTTATTTTACTTTTAATTTTTATCAATCTGGTACGTGTAATAAGTGTTATGTCATTATAGTTTAATTTGAATTTTCCTGGTTACTAATGGCATTGAGACAGTGAAGTGCTAGGACCAGCTGACTCTAGCTCATGAGAGCTGATTGCATGCATCTCTTCTCACTCCATGTACAGTGACATCAGATTGGTGGCTTGAAATCATCCATAATGGAATTATTTCTACCCACAAATGTCATAAACCAAGGTTTCCTTCTCCCTGGTAGCCAGTTAAGCGTATATTTATTTATTAGGCATTTGTGTTTCTCTGTGAAATGCTTCTTCACATCTCTTGACCCTTTCCCTAGTGGATTAGTTATCTTTTTCATATAGATGTGTAGTGATTTTTCTGGTTACTAATCCTTTATTAAATGTTATGAAAGTCTTCTTCTAAATTTCTGGCTTGCCTTTTCACTCTGTGATGAAATGGACAGGAGTTTTTAATTTTCATGTAGACTAACTTAAAAATCTTTACCCTCATGTGTCTTTTTAGAAGTTCTTCCATTTTCAAGGATATAAAGATACTATTTAATATTTGCCTCTAAAAGTTTTAAAGTTTTGATCCTTCTGTATTGGTTTTGTGGCACTGTATGAAGTGGGAATCCATTTCATTCTTTGTAATGAATATCTCTTCACCATTTACTAAAAAGCCCCTTCTTTCCTAGTTGATCTACAAAATCATCTCTGTCATATATGAAGATTTCATACATGTATGAATCTGTTTGAGGTTCTCTATTCTCTTTTGTTGGTCAATGTATATTCCTCTGTGAATAACACATAGTGTTGCTTACTGTATCTTTTACAGTAAGTCTTGGTATCTGATTATCCTGCCTAATTCTTTTTCTTCAGAAGTGTGGTGTCTACATGACCCTTTGATTTTTTATTATCTATTTTAGATTCAGCTTATCAATTCCATCAAAAGAAAAAATGTATTAGAATTTTCACTGCAAATTTATTAAATATGTAGACTAAATTGGGAAGAACTTACATATTTGTGATTTTCTTTATTTATGAACACCACTGAGACACAGAAAGGTTAATTTCAATGTGACAAGATAATCTAGTTTATAGAATAATAACTTCAAAATTTGTCAATGTTTGCCTCATGGCTTACCTTGGAGCCTGTTTACAAATGTTCAAAGAAAGCTTGAAAATAATTTTGCAATTGTTGGATGCTCTTGTTCTATATAATCCACTAGATCAGGGTCATTAAATTGCGGGGTTCAATTCTTGTTTGTTTATGTTAATTTCCTTGTCTGCTACAGCCATTATTTACTCATAGAAGTGTGCCAAAATCTCCCTTTTGGCTTCTCTTTTTAATTGTATATACTTTGAATTAATGTTTTTAGATGAATACGAGCTTGGAATTATGTTATCATTCTTTTATGATAATGTCATGCTCTTCAATCTCACAATCATCTCTACCCTTTAATGTCTATTTTTGATTGATAATAAATAGTAACACCATCTTTATTTTAGTTGGTATTTGTCTAAATACCATACATTTACTTTCAACTTTTCAATGTATTTTAATTGTATCCATGGTAAATAACACGTAGCTGGATTTTTTCCCCCATCTTGCTAATTTTTGACCTTTAATTGGAAAGACCTTCCTATTTAAACTCTTATTTGTTCATGCACTTGGCCTGATTTCTGCCCCTTATTTTGTACATTTTATTTTCCCCATGTGCTCTAGTAATTTTTCTATTGGTTCAGATTTCTCCAATATCATCTTGCCCCATTACGTTCATCCCTCTCTATTTTCAAAGTTACACATTCTGTTTTTAATTTTTAATGATTATCCTAGAAATTTTAACATTCTGTTTTAACTTCAATTATAAAATTAATCAGTACCTTTTCTCTTCTTCTAAATATTGTAAGCACTTTAGAACACAAATCCAATCATCACTCCTTACTTAATTTCCATTTTTGTCAGTATTTTAGTTCTTTCTTTACTTTTATGTCCACAGATTAGCCATTGATTATTTGTTTTGTGTGGTCAGCATTTTCCTGATAGACTCCATGTTTACCATTTTCTGTTAAACATTCTTACATCTTAGACCTTCTCACTTTGTTTCTTTTGAGTACATATTTCAGAAATTCATGTAGTGAGGATCTGGTGATAATAAGCTCTCACCATTTTATTTGTCTGAAGAACAACTTTATTCAACTCTTGTTCTTGAAATATATTTTTGCTACATTTAAAATGTTAAATTGGCATTTAATTTCTTTCACTGTTTTTATTTCATGTTTGTGATGTCAACTGTCAGTCTGTCATTTGTTTGCAATCTGTTTCCTTCTATATGATTTTAATATCTCTTTGGCTTCAATGTTCAGCAGTTTGACTATGATGAATCATATGTTGACTTACTTTAATGTGTACTGTTTGGAATTCACTGAGCTTCCTGATTTGAAGAGCAATGTCTTCTGCCATTTCTGGAAATCACTAAGCTATTATCCTGAGCAATTTCTCTTTCATTCTCTGCATTTGCTCTTATGTAATTCAGATTGGATGTGTGCTGTAGCTTTTTCTGGCTGTTTTTCTCTTTACCTTTTCTTGCCATTTATATTTCAATATTTGTCTTTCTGTTCCACTATTAGTTCCTTTACCTCTGTTGTCAAGTTCACCCATTCTCTTTTCAATTGTATCTAACTGGATGTTAAATCTATAAATAAAGTTTCTATTAGTTATGTTACATTTTTATTTTTGAGATTTATTTTTTATGTTATCTGGATCTATTTTGATAATTTCTTATGTATTATACTTTCAATTCCCTCTTAATTTTAAAAACATATTAAACGTAATTGCTTTATATTCTGTTTCTGCTCACTCAAATATCTGCTGTCTTTATAGATCTGATACTATACTTTGTTTCCTTCAGTTAGCTTTAATTCATAGAGCTTATTTTCTCAGGTGTTCAGTGATTTTTGTTTGTGAGGTCATGTTCTGTCGATGCATTATAAATGGGAATTCTTTGAGATCTGAGTTTTAAAAATAACTCCCCAGAGTTTTGAGTTTGCTTCTGCTAGCCTGGGACCAATGTAAACTAAAATTTTAGCATATGGCTTTTCAGGCCACACAGATAATGTAAATTCTGGCCCCAGACCTGCGTGAGTGGGGATTTTTGGTTAGGAATCTTCAGAGAAACTTTTTTACTAAGTCACCTGAGTCAACATCAAAATACTGTTTACCTCTGTAAAGTTTACTTCTTCTTAGTTCACCCATTAAGGTTATTTTGTTTTCCATTTGTGCCTGATGAAACCGCAAACTGTAGGGCACCAGGGATCAGCATATACCCGCCAAGTAAATCATGCTTTAGTGCTCTCTTACCTCAGTGGGTTAATTTGGCTTTGCTGTTGGAATTCTCCATGGAATTCCTTTACTTCCTTGCTAGCTTTATCTTACATCGTGTGTGTGTGTTTCTGTGTGAGTGTCCGTGTGTGTGTGTGTGTGTGTGTGTCCAGAGTTTTTAGATGTGTTAAATTGGAAGAGGTTTCTGTCAGCATCTGGTAAGACACATTGCAAAAAAAAAAAAAAACCCATAAACTAATTTAAATGTATTTTACTGTAAGAATAAAGTCATGTGCAACTTATCTCATAAAACTTGCAGTATCTCTGTGCAAATTAACTTTTAAATATACAGTTAGTTACATGCCCCCCAAAATCCGAAGATATGTATAGTAAGAGGAAAAAAATAATTTGTCAATATTGAATATTAGTTCATAAAAACTGAAAATTGGGACCAGTAATGTAAAACTGGAAAAATGTCTAAATGCTCCCTTTGATATCTCTGTGCAGGAAAGTGTTCAGGATTTAAAAAAGAGAATTATGGTACTTGACTGCCAATTACGAAAATCAGAAATGGCTCGAAAAACTTTTGAGGCATCCACTAAAAAGCTTCTTCATTTTGTAGAGGTAAGGTTTTCTGTTTTGTTATGTTCATCTTTAAAAAATATATAGGCAACTGGCATATACATGTTACTGTATTTGGTATCTAGTGAGACATTCTCTAGTCTCAAAACAGCAATGCTGACTTACGGTCAGATTTAGAACTGCATATATGCTGAAAAGACTGGCTAACATTTTATAGATTGTTTAGAGAAATAATTGAGTCAAGGTAATGTGATTCCAGATATAACTATTTTAATGAATACTTTCCTAAAAATCCTGATAATGTATAAACATTATTTGTTAACTGTTTACCTTATAAAGAAATGTTTTTATAGCTGTTATATTTCTGAGTAAAATTGCGTGTTAGTTCAATCGTTGTTTTCCCCCCACATAATAGAAACATCAGTTTAATCCATGGAAAGAGGAGGTTGTAAATATTAATCAAGAAAAGACCCTTTTTAAAAATGTCAAACTTACATATCTCCTTCACCATCTTGTTCGTTGCTAGGCTATTCAAGAAGTATTTTCTGATTATTGTACTTCTCTATCAAATTTAAGGTAAGAAAATTTAAGTGCTTTTTGTAGAATATGGGTAGTGATTGAATTCTTCACCTGGTCATCGTGACTAAAATACTAAAAATCTCTTAAATAATCCTAAGATGCTACATAATTCCCATTGGATGCTGTTGTATGGAAATAGGTGCAAGGACATAGTTTGGGTTGCATCTCTATTAAAGAAATTTCTGGAGGCATTTAGTCAATCATTGTAACCTTGTCCTCTAAAATTGAGGTAGGAACCACCTATCTTGCCTTTGTCAAAAATTCTATAAAGATGAGATTAACTTGAAATTCTTTAATTGTCCTGTGTATGAATAAAAGTTTCTGGTCACAGGTTCACTCCTAAAAACAACCCGGCAGATTAGTTTTTCTGGCAAACAGAATTTTGGAAAACATATTTGTGCAATCATTTTCTTTCATTTTCGTCTTTCAGTAGATATAAATAAAATAAATATATTTGGAGAGTATACCTTGATTGTCTTATTCATAATATGTTTTGGATTTAAAGTTTCTTGCTAGAACCTGCAAACATACTAATCAAATTTATTTATTTCAAACCACAAGTTTATGGTCATTTCGATACATGATGAAAGACATTTACAAAAGCAAGGTTCCTGTTTATGCATTTCCAAAGTAATTTTTTTTAATCTCATAATAGCTGCCACTAGTCCTAAATACATCTTCTACTTCTAACAGTATACATTTGCAGAAACAGGAAGACTCAATGAGGTTGGATGTGTGGTGCATGCCTGCAATCCTAGTATTTTGGGAGGCTGAGGCAAGAGGATCACTTGAGCCCAGGAGTTTGAGACAAGCAACATAGTGGCAACATAGTGGGACCCCATCTCTACCAAAAAAAAACTAGCTGTATGTGGTGGCGCATTCCTGTAGTCCCAGTAATACTTGAGAGGCTGAGGCTGAGGAAGGAGGATTGCTGGAGCCCAGGAGTTCTAGGAGATTGAGGCTGCAATGAGCTGTGATAATACCACTGCACCCCAGCCTGGACAACATAGTGACACCCTGTCCTAGGAAGTAAATAAATATTCTACCCTTTGCTGTGAAAACAGCAGCTTAATAAATGAAGATATTTTAGTTGTCCACATAGCATTTTTTAATTTAAATGAATATTTATAATACACTTCTAAGCTCATTATTTGGTATAATGTTTTACTTCTTACGATGAAGGAATCTGGCATATCTTCTTACTATCCATGCCGCTTATGATACAAGATAACTCTGTGAGTTTCATGATTATTACTCTCAGTAAGGATCTAAAAATAATCAGTAATCATATTTATTTATTTCTTGTATGAGTTAAATGTGTCACCCACCCTCAGCCTCCTAAGGTCTTATTTTTACCTTGACTGATAATTCAAGTTTTATTTTAAAAATTAAGGTTAAAATGACTATTTAAAGGCCAGAGCCTGCCCTTGCCTTAAACTCCTTCATGGAAAAAAAAGACAACTTTAAACAGCTACATCAAGCAATGTTTCATGGTGTCTTATTAAATTAAACACTAGTAAAATCTGGTGCAGTCATTTCAATATAGCATATCTTCTACGTGGATATTGGCCTTGGTCATTCAACACAGAATAAAGGCTATGTATTTGCATTTGAGAATTGATGCTTTTGCTTCTTTTTGTTCATTAATATCATTATTCTTAGGAACATGGACTATAAATAATGATAATTTTGTCATCAGTTAAAATTGTTTCTTTTCAAGTATGTTTTATTGTAATGTTTTGAGGAAAACATCTAATGTTTATGTCAGAATTCATTCAGTTTAGGTGACATTTGCATTTTTTAAAGTGTTATAAATGCTCTAGGCTGTTTTTGATTAGAGGCAAAAAATGGAATAGTTTAAGAGATAATTTCAGGAGCAAAAATAATATATATTAAATTTATATTTAATATTACTAGAAGTAATAACGAATGTATGTTTAATAAATTCATGTTTTATGCTTAATTTGAATTTATATAGAACTAAATAAAATTATATCATGTTAGCAAAACACAAGCACTCACAAAATAATCCCAACAAATGTTTTAGGAGACAAGTCATCCTTCTGTTACTTCTTTCTCATGCATGAAATCAACCTAATTTTAAAATATTTCTACTTATTATGTAATAAATAACTGAAAACAGAAATATTGTTTTATGTGAATTACTTCAATTTTGGTTCTATGAAATAATGTCCTCAGAAACAGAAATATTTTTGTACAAATCTATAACTAATACAACTTCGGATTTAGTAAAGATAGATGTTTTTTATTGTATAGTAAGTTCAACTTTATTTTATTGCCTTCATAGTGAAAGAAGAGCTGTGTTAGCTTCTCAGACTTCTCTCACACTGATGGGAAGGAATGGACATAACATCCCAGCAACGCTGGTGCTTGAATCTAAGGAACTTGTTAAATCTGTTCGTGCCTTACTTGATATGGATTGTAAGTTTTCTGCACTTTATCACTTTTTAAAAATAATTTCTTTAACAAAACAAAAGAAGAAAAAATTGAAGTCAGACAGTTGAATTTAGTTATAGTGGCTTGCCTACAGCAAAACTGATACCTAATCAATAAAAATTTTAACATACCAATCATAGGAGGAAAATATTTCCTTTATGTAAAGTGCTTAGAATGGCTTCCACCTGAAATAACTGATTAAGACATGCCTTTACATCTACTTCCATCCAGAGTTTCTTTGAATGGAAGAATAAATGTAAAAATCAATCCACAGCAGCTCTGGAAACCTGGAAGAGTGGAATCAGCATTGAGGAACTTGTTAAATAATAATATACTACAGATGGAATAAGATTAAACATACAGTCCAACTGAGCAAAAGACCCCAAAACACAAATGAAAGACAAAACTGAAACAATGAGTTAAGTAGAACCATGGGAAAAAAACCCAGGGTCACAGACAGTGAAGACTGGGAACAGACTCAGGGGCAGTCAGTAGCATAATTAATTAAAGGGCTTGGAATAGCTGAACCAGTTCCCTAGTCTTCAGAGCTGCTGGCTCAGGCATTTCCTACTATGCTGTGGCCAGTAGAATACCTCTCTAAAAGAACTACATGACCTGTCAATAGATACTTCTAGAGTCAGCACTGGACTAGAAAGAGAAGTAAGACAATGCTCTAAGTAACTTCCATCATCCCAACAGACAGAGAGATCCTTGGGGAAAACTTAAATGACTGGACATGCTCCTTTTTCTCTCTTCATATCTCTCAGATGCTTTTGCCTCTTTATGAATTTCAACTCCCTTTTTCTAACTACTTCTTACATACCCTTTATTTTCCTGCAGTGAAAATTACAATTGACCTAACTATACCTGTAATTTTTTTTAAATGACATGCTAATGTCCTATAGAGAATAAATAAGAGGGAGGTGATTTATAACAAAATTATATATATATATAATTTTAATAAGTAAATGCTTTAGTACAACTATACTAAGATATATAATGTAGTCATCAGATGTTTGCACCTAAACAGAGAATCACCACAAATGTTACAACCATGAACATAGACTGATACAGGAACATTGTATTGTCATTTTAAATAGCATGAGCAGATTGTCATCAGTAATATCCAAATGATTGTCCAAAATGGTGACTAATGCTAAAGTTCTGAACAGAAGAAAGTAAAATCTTCCATCAATTTATATAGTAGGTACAAGCCTGGGAAATTTAATGTATATTAAAACTATGCAAAAATATTTGAGGCTTATCTAAAAACAGAATTGTGTTCCAGATTCAAGTAATTAAGAACATATTTTTTACCACCATGAATATCTAGTAGGACATTTAAAAATTGTACAGGACACAGAATAATTCTTTGTTGCACAGACTGTTCAGTGCATCCTATGATGGGACGTTTAACATTCCTAGTACCCTTCCACTAAGTGCCAAAAATATCCCCAAACACTGTGGCAATAGATAGTGCCTCACAAATTACCAAAAATGCCCCCTAGGAGTAATACCATTCTTATTGGGAACCTCTGATGTTGAGCCTTACTTAAAATATGAACCAACAACCAAGAATCACATAATAATGGTGAGGGGTGAGAAGAACTATGTAACAGGGAGATTCTCAAGGGAAAAAATTATCTTTAATTGAATAAAGATAATATAATCTGATGATAATTGTGTTATATTCTTGAAATAAAATGAAGTTATTATCCTTAAAGAGAGTCAATAACATATTGCATTCATAACACAAGAAGTAGTTTCATGAAAGAAAGCTTTTTTTTTTATCTTTTCAAGACAGGGTCTCACTTTCTCACCCAGGCTGGAGTGCAGTGGCTCAATCTCCATACACTGCAACTTCCTCCTCCCTTGCCCCCTCACTCTCAACCCCAGGTTTCTCAGCTTGTCAAGTAACTGAGAGCACAGGTGTACACCACCATGCCCAGCTATATTTTTGTTTTTAATAGAGACTGGGTCTCGCCATGTTGCCCAGGATGGTCTTGAACTCCTGGGCTCAGGCAGTCCACCCACCTGGGCCTCCCAAAGTGTTGGGATTACAGCCATGAGCCACCAAGCCTAGCCAGAAGAGAGCTTTTAAAAAGTATTTTACATTTCCTTTTTCACTAAATGAAGATATTACTCAAAAAAGTTGTTTGAATATTAAATAATATAATCAATATAAAGCACTTATTTATCACATTCCTAGCACAAAACACATACTCAGGAGTATGTTTTGAATTGTGGTTGAATACGTAGCACTTCTTTTTTTTTTTTTTTTTTTTTTGACGGAGTTTCGCTCTT